AAAAAAAAAAACACAAGACGGTAATTTTTATTATTACAAAAATTATATGATCTATCTTATTTGGTGAAATCAATAGTAATAATTCATGTGTCGTTAAATAATCATATTATATTCCCCTCCTATTTTTATTATTTGTCGTTTTGATAAGCAACACATTAATTATTTTTTTCTAGTCAATATCAATTTTATTTAATGGATGTTATGGGAAACAATGTAAATGAGATATGAAGAAACACTGTGTATTAGATAAATGGTTAAATAATAGAAGAATATGAACAAAATAGCCAAAATGATATTTATTTAATCAATAATCAATTAAGCCAGAGTGACAAATAATAAAAATATAAAGAAATATTATTTATTTACTATCAAATTTATAAAATGAGATATATTCATTATTTAATTTATAATCTTAATATTATATAGATATATCATTTATAACACTCACCTGTATATATGTGCACCGATAGGCTATTACTCTGATTAATAACTTCGCTAATGTACAACACCAAATGAACTGTACCGGCCAAATTTCATTTTACCCAAAATTGAACCTTATATTCCCCTTTATTTTCCCCTTAACCCTTAAAAAATCCCGTAATTTCCCCCTTTTTGTCCTTGGAAGGAGGAGCACATAACAATCTATCTCTGTGGATTGGTCCCTCTGTTTTTTCTTGACACAAAAACAAACCCAAAACGAAACCCCCAAAACCCATCATCTCTTCCACTCATTTCAGCCGTCCCTGAAAATCCTCAATTGCCCACCAACCCTAAATTAGTAAAGGAAAACAATCCCGTTTGAATCGCAAATTTCTACTGCTTTTTGTGCGGTTTCTTCGTTCGATTTTGGCGTGTTATGGGGTGAGAGGAAGGCGAAGTGTTGTGCGTGCGTTGAGAGTGTGATGGAGTGGGATAGTGACTCGGAGTCTGATCTGAGCGGCGGCGAGGAGGAAGAGGAATTAGGGTTTATGTTAAGGAAAAGCGGCGGAGGTCAGCTGCCGTTCCCGGTGGACACGCTCCTGCAGCCGGCGCCGTGTGGTTTTGTTGTTACGGATGCTTTGGAGCCGGACAACCCCATTATCTATGTTAATTCAGTGTTTGAGATGGTTACTGGTTATCGTGCGGAGGAGGTCCTCGGACGTAATTGGTTAGTACTTTCTAAATCTCCTTTTTTTATTTTTATTTCTATTTATTTTTATCTTTATTTTTAAATGCCTTTAATCCTTTATTTTTTGTTTGGGGTGGGGTGTTTACAGTTTCTGTGTTGTCACTTTTGTGCGTTGATGTGATGTTCTCTTTTGTAGTTGGAATTTGGAATATTTTGTGTTCATCGCTGCTGGGTGTTTGATTATGGATGTGAGCAGTTAGCTATTAATGTGCTTGAGATTTATAGTAAGTTTAAGTAGTAAAAGTGTGAATCTTGGACATTGGACCTTTTCTTTGATTATGTCATCATCTACTATGTGGTAGGGAATTGTTTTTGGGCTGGATCATAAGTGTTCTAGCCTACTTTTGTTTCATTTAGGGAAGAAATGTAAGTTTGCATAACAGAAGATAATATGGAAGTGGGATTTTGGGTTTAGCATTGCTAAATATTTAGTTTATTTTCCTTAGCTTATGCATCATGAATGCGCGATGCAGCATAATGATAGGCATGTTGTGCATTTTTTTGTTTCTGAATCCTGATAGAGGAATGAATGTTGCTTGTCTGTTCGAGTTACTGGATAAAAGTTCTAACTTTATTCTCTATCACATCCCTTGAATGAAAACTATCTCAGAAAAAGGAAAAGTCTAGTTCTACTTATTAGGTCTTCTATCAAGCTACTAAGGTTTTAGGTATGGCATGAATCATGTTAAAATCACTGGTATGAGAAAACTTTATATTTCACTGCCATTATACCTCATTTTCTCGGTTCTGAAATAGTTCTCCTTGGTACTTCTCCAAAACTATTTTTTTCTAATAGTGCAAGACATTTCTTTGATATTATGTAATTGCGGCAAAAACATTGATGCTATTTGAGTGGACGGTGGGGGTAGTTTTTATAATCCTTTTGGACTTTAGAGAACAGGCTGATGTATAATATATTGTGGATTGTGGTGCCCATGGATTAATATGGTTTCCAAATTAAGGTTAGCTCTATAATATTTAAATGAAAGGCAGTAGTCCTACTAGCTTAACAAACATTAGCTCAGAAGCTGGAGGGGGTACAGAACAGAATGTGCTTTGATTCTAGAAGGAAGGTACTCAGGCAATGAATGTTTTACTCTTGAAGATCCTTTGAAGAGATGAAGAAAATAGAAGCTCACATATACGAAGTGTTAGCATAGATAATGATAAAAATAGGAGTTAGTATCTTCCAATTGACATTACTAGAGTAACATGACATTTTATGAAAAGATATTACTGATTTTTCTTACTGATGTCTGCTTGATCATATCACATATGAGTAGCATCAGGCTTGTCTAGCTTCACAATTGGAAGTTGTGGTGATAGTCCAGAGCACATGAGAGTTTTTTGTTTGTATTTATTCCTGAAAAGAATCAGAAGGTTACTGGTAGTGCTGCATTTGGATACAAGTAAAATTAATTTTTTATTTCACCAGCAGAAATTTTGAAATAAATTACACTACTTGCTCAACCCACTTTTTCCATCCTNATCATTACTACTCAATTCATTATAAAATTTACTATTCATCTACTCACATCACTCCTTATTTTATTATTTGCACATCACAACAATTTTAATCATTACATTTCCATCTCATCATCTATCACACTTTTCAAGTTATTTGTTTTTTTCCACAAATTATTTTCCAAACACTTCTCTAGTGAATTAGAATTTTTCTAACAAAAGCATACCAATTGCACCATTAATTTCTTCTTATTGGGGTTTCTTCATAGATTTTGATGAAATATGTTGTATGCCATTGTATGCTTTGCATCTTAAGCTATCGAGAAATTCCTGTTCTTTCTTGAGAGACAATACCGTTTGGCTAATCTAGTCATGCACAAGACCGGGACAGGGGTTGGAAATGGTGGCTTATCCTCGGATTATAAATTAATTTAAACATGATTCTGGTCAAATTTCACAAATCATGTCACAGCAGAAACAAAATTAAGTTGAGAGTAGATACTAGTCATATGCCTGTTGTTGATATAGACAAGTGGCATGTTTGAAATTGGGCCCTTCTTCTACGAATTACTGTTTTGATTTCCATTAATTTGAATTCTTTCATAGCTTTTCTATTGTACATCCCATGATATATTTTTATAAAATCAGAACATAATTTTTGTTATCTAATTTGAATGCAGTTTTGAGTGTTAGAGGGAAGTTTTGTTGACAAACTTTAGGAAACTTTGAATCCTTGGTTATTGTTCCTTTGTCAGAATAATAAAATTGTAGGATTTCCTTCATGTGCATTTTGCAAATTTTGCGTATTTGTCAGGTTAAGCTGTGTGAGGATGACCTACCATTCAGGTGAGATTAGCGCTGCAGAACAATTTGATCTCTAGGATCAAATATTCTGGGAAATTGATTTTGTTTTAAGTTTCAGGTCACAAGCCTTTTTGATTGAAAATTTGTGTGTCCTCTATATTTTGCTTAATCTTTCTTGGGGATGTATTAAGAGGTATTCAAATATTTTCAGTAGCAGGTTGTCTTTGTACATGGATCATAATATCTTCCTCATATGCCGAAACATGTCAGACTAAATTTTTGTTGTGCTTTGATGTCAACCAGCCCACTTTTGTTTTACCCTGCGATAAATCTATATTAATCTTTCCTCGAAGTAGTAACTGGAAGTTATATACTGTTGAGTCTGATATTCGCTGTTCTAAAGTTTTCTTCCTTCCTAATATTCAATAGTCCGGATTAAATGCTTACGTTTTCTGTGTACATGCAATTAAGAGGTCAAAACTTAGTTGTTAAACGTAAAGTATTCTCTCAATTACAACTGTAAGGCATAGAATGATACCATACCATGTAATAGGGAGACGATTTTTCTTCATGTGCTGATTTTCCACTGGGATACTACTGAAGACATGAATGATTATTTTAGAAGCTCCGATGTCCTTGTAATTTGTGAACAAGTCTATTTGCTCATATGGTGAATGTTAGTTATCTACTGAAATTTGGGCTTTAATTAACATTTCATCATTTTTTTCTTGGTAAAAAGTTTTATGCCCATTATGCCTACTATGCTTAACTATATTTTTCTTGCATTTTCCATGACCTATAATCCTTAACCGCTGGAAATTAACTTCTATCATCTCGATTCTTTCTGTCCCGCTTCTTTTTTGTCTGTACAATATACTTACAACTGCCTGCTCGCATCTTAAACTCTCTCAAATTTCCTACAGCCGTTTCTTACAATGCCGAGGCCCGTTCGCCAAGCGCAGGCATTCCCTCGTGAACCCCACCGTCGTCGCCGAAATCCGAAGATGCCTCGACGAAGGAATCGAATTCCAAGGAGAACTCCTAAACTTCCGCAAAGACGGCTCCCCACTCATGAACAGACTGCGCATGACCCCCATATACGGAGACGACCACACCATAACCCACATCATCGGCATACAGGTTTTCATCGAGGCCGCCCTCGACTTAGGCCCCCTCCCTGGCTCTTCCGCCAAGGACCCACCACCACCACCTTCCCGCCGCTCTAACCGCTTCCGTTTCACCACGAGCCCGAGCATATCATCCCCAGACGGCGTATGCAGCATCATGCAGCTCAGCGACGAGGTGATCGCCCTCAAAATCCTCTCCCGGCTCACGCCGAGGGACATCGCGGCCGTGGGGTCCGTCTGCGTCAGATTCTACGAGCTCACGAAGAACGAGGACCTCTGGCGCGTGGTCTGCCAGAACGCGTGGGGCACCGAGACGACCCGCGTCCT